TGATTCCAGGTTCCTTTCCCCACCATGTTGGCTTTGCTCTGCATGTGGTTTGGCATCTCCCTGCCCTTGGTCTACCTGGGCTATTACTTTGGGTTTCGCAAGCAGCCGTACGATAACCCTGTGCGGACCAATCAGATTCCAAGGCAGATCCCGGAGCAGAGGTGGTACATGAAGAAGTTTGTTGGGTGAGTTGCAAGTATCTTGTAAACCTGGTGACTGCAAAGGCTCCAGTGGTGCCCATGGTGAACCCCAGCCAGCACCCGTGAATTGAAAGTGGCATAGATCCACTGGTCTCCCACCCTCCCCATCTCCTTGCTGAAACCTTGTGATGCTCAGGGGACTTGTGACTGCATCCTAGATTGCAGCGTCCTACACTCCACCCACCTGCCAGTGCCAGGAAGGGGGAAGTGGCTTGCTGAGACTTTACTCCATGACCCCAGAGCTGCTGGGCCTGTCTGGGCTTTTTTGTCTTGAGTAAAGACTGTTGTGCTGGCTTGGTAACAGACTGCCTTTTGCTCTGTAGGATTCTGATGGCTGGCATTCTGCCCTTCGGAGCCATGTTCATTGAACTGTTCTTCATCTTCAGCGTAAGCACTGGCCCACTTCCTTTCTACCCTTCCCACCCTTGCAGAGCCAGCTGCTGCCTTGGGGAGAGGGGCTGGCAACTTGGAGGAGAGGCATTGTGGCATGAGCAGGGAGGGAGGGGCTGCTGCACCACCCCCAGGCCTGTGGCTGGAGGATGCTGCACCACAGACTTTTCCAGGCTCTTTGTTGTGTGGAGACTCTTGAAAGACCTGGTTGTGCAGGATCTCCTTAGCAAAGGGACAGAGGTGAGGTGAAGTTGCCTCGGAGCGCAAGGACCCTTTGCAAAGGGAGACCTGCTTTCCAATGCTCTCCTTCGTGTGGAAGGGGAGCAGATATTACGGGGTCTTGTTGCTGGGTCAGATCCCAGTGCAGGAAGGTGGCACTGTGTTCTCAAAGGTGCCCACTCCCTTCATCTCTTTGGGGTGAGAACAGCCGTCTCTTGCCTACCCTCAGGCTCATTCTGCAGCCTGGTGCCTTTCCAGGTCAGCTGCAAAGGAGCTGTTTGCTGCCTGTCACGTGACTTCCTGGTGCGGCATTGTGGTGAAGAGCTTGTTCTGTCTTTTGTTTCAGGCGATCTGGGAGAACCAGTTCTATTACCTCTTCGGCTTTCTCTTCCTGGTCTTTATCATTCTCGTGGTGTCCTGCTCCCAGATCAGCATTGTCATGGTGTACTTCCAGCTGTGTGCCGAGGTGAGACCTCCCACATGGCTGATCCAGTCGCCCTCTGAGAATTCCCTGGGTGTGACTTGATTGCAGCATCTTGGCAGAAATCTGATCTGTTGTGCGGCTTCCCTGAATGCGCAGAGTCCAGTGTTGGAGGGGAGCTGTATCTCCAGCCACTCTCCTGGATCCATTTCCCATGCCGTAAGCCAGGCCTCCCTCGGTGCTGGCTTTCTGCTTCATTGTTAGTTATGCAGTCTTGCTGATGCTTAACTGATTCCTAGTCTTGGAACGGGGTGAACAAATCCCCGCGTCCTTCTGGGGGAAAGACGAGGGTCCCTGCCCTGCTTTGTGATAGTGTGCAGCCCATCTGAAAGGAAAGGGCCCTGCAATTCATGCCTAGGAGCGCATTGCAGGGGAGTGAGGTTGGAATAATGCAAAAGGTCTCTTGCCCTGTCAGGACTATCGCTGGTGGTGGAGGACCTTCTTGGTATCAGGAGGATCTGCCTTCTACGTGCTGATCTACGCCATCTTCTACTTTGTGAACAAGGTATTGTCACTATTTGCTCCCTGAGAGCACACTGGAAGTTGGAGACTGTATTGAGTCCCCTCATCTTAGTCCATCCCCCTGCTGGGACGGGGCCATTCCTTGCAGGGTCAGTCCCTTGCTGGGGCAGTTGCCAGAGCGATTCTCTGTTAGTAATGCTGCAGAAATTAAGAGTTTCAAGTACTAGAGACTCCAGTCTCAAATGCATCTGTTGGCTCAGTGATTCTAGACACAGTTGTGTCCCCAGGTGAGGTGGATCTGGTTGGGGTTAGTCTGTCTCTCCTCTAATGGCTTCTAGTTGTGAAAAATTTAGCTTTCATGTTCAGCTTGCCCAGGGCTTTCCCTGGATTGCTCTAGGTGGAAGGCGGGGAGAACAGGCCAGCGGCAGAACTGGGGAGGTGACTGAACATAGTTCTGGGTTCAGCCTCACTTTGCTTTTTCTCTTCTGTTCTAGCTGGATATCGTTGAGTTCATTCCCTCTTTGCTATATTTTGGCTACACAGCCCTCATGGTCCTGTCCTTCTGGCTCCTCACCGGCACCATTGGCTTCTATGCAGCCTACATGTTTGTCCGCAAGATCTACGCCGCTGTGAAAATAGACTGAAGAGGCACAGACTGGGCAGGAAGTAGACACCTCTGTGGGCATGTCCTCCTGGGCAGGAAGGGGGAGTTTCTCCCAGTTCTTTTAAGGAAAAAAAACAAAAACCCAACGGGAGAGTGACAAGAGAAATTTTAAAACTCCTCATTTCGGAATGTAATTTCTGGCACAGTGTACATGGATTCTGGGGCTACTTCTGGGGGAGAGGGGTCTGTAGATACTTTGCATTTTAACTTTATGATCTTATTGCAGTTTGGAGGGATTTTTTTTATCTGAGAAATATCCCTCTGTGTAAGTCAACCCCCGCCCCCCTTTTTTGTTAATTCATTCTTTTTTTTTATGTTGAATAACAAATGGATCTGAGACGGCAGTGGCAACACTTGTGCAAATGTTTGCTCTAGCCCCTAGGACACGTAGGTTCTGGGGGGACCTTCAGACCAGTAACACAACAGGCCGGGCCAGGCCTCGTGTCTACGTGGAAGATGTGGAGGGTGCTTCCGGCTGTGGCCAGGGAGGGGGATCTGAAAGGCCTGTCCTGCATGAGAATGGCATGCTCCGGCTACAGCAGTTTCAGCTCCATCCCTGTTTACAGTTCCACAGAGGTGCCACGCAGAACCTGGCAAGTGCAATTTCACCTGGAGAGGGCTTGAGAACTGATGCCTTCCACGTTGCTTCTCCCTCCCCCTCACCTTTGGACATCGCATGCCACTCTGGATGCGTGAAGCTGGAGAGGTTTGGAAGGGTGGGACATCTCTCCTGGAAGAGCTGAATCATCTGTAGGGGCAACAGGATGGAGTGGGCTGTGGTGTTACACTGAAAGCAGCGCAAGATTCTGGAGCACAGGACCCCCATACCCTGGAGAAGAACATTGGAGACCTCTGCAGGGCTTTGTTCAGCTAATGACTTTGTTCTGGATAGAAGGAAGTGAGGCAGCCTTACTCGCTAGGAAACGCCTCTGGGGTTTAAGTAGAGCCCTGCATGGAGAAACTCACTACAGTGTTGGTTTCGTGCCAAGAAATCTGAGTATTGGGACATCCCTGCTGCAGAGGGGTGCGAGCTTTGCGAGACTGGCCTGGAGCTCCCTGAGGCTCCCTCCCACCCTGTTCCTAGAAGAGAGTTCAACTTGCCAGCCACCTGCCTCTTGCCTGTTACTGCTCTCAATTCCTTGCTCCTGTGCTTGGAAATGTTGCTTCCAGAGAGCAAGGGAACTTCACACCTCAGTACCTTTTGGATTTCACTTTTCCTAGCGAAAAGGGCCAAGCCCTCTGGACTAGCCAGGGGGTACTTTACTGCAGGGGGCTGATCTTTTCCCATTGCTGAGTGCCTGACTTTGCCTATGGGAGGTTCTTTTTAAATGAGCTTGAATTTGTATTTGGGTTATTTAAAGCAAACTAAGGCTACTGGAAAGCCTAGTTGCAAGCTTCAGGTAAGCCTCCCTCCATCCCTAGCTCTAAGCTGGCTTCAGTCAAGGTTGTGGAGGTGGCTTATGAGGGCTGTGGGAGTTCTGGTTTTGCCTCCAAATATGTGGCTGTCACAGGTGACACTGATCTAATTGAAGTGCATCTGAGAAGCAACAAAGTCCCTCCCTGTCGCTTGCATTGAGTTGTGGATGTTTTGGGGATTTCTGTACCTTGGGTGTCACCTAAACGATTGCTACCAGGGCTGTGTAAGAGGTTCTGAAGGGGGTTTGTTTGTTTTTTTGGTGGTGATGTCCCCTAGCTCCCTGAGTTGGGAGAGTGGAGAACTAGAATGCCAAAGCATTTGTCTCCTCATGCATTGAATCCTCAATCTTACAGCTCCCC